AGCCCTACGGGACATTAAACGTCACTTTACGATAGAGAGTTGATAAGAATTCTGCTTTAACATAATATCGACGACAAATTATGGGTTGTCGTTGCCTGAAATTTAGATTAGTGAAAAACTCTACCATTATTGGGAAAAAACATTTTAGTGACGAAAGGGCATTAGGATTGCGGAATGTTTTTCGTTCCAAGGCATGGATCTAAGGTTGGCACTATCTTACCAAGTGGGAACTTGGCCTTATCTACCACGTAGCTCCTCACAAAATCCTTGCAGGCGGTTCCGATTATATTCAATCTTTTCGGTGGCAAAAATGCTAAAGATACGATAGTGACGAAAGGATTAGCGTAATTTGTGGAAATTGCAGTCGATTTCGGAGAATGCCCCGGTTTTGTCCTTGGTGGCGCAGTCTTCTGGAGACGGGTATTAGGATCGGTTTTGTGAAATCGTCGCACACGGCTGTCGTGGACCATTTCCTTCGCCATTATTGCAGCTCTAGCGTTCTTCATACAGCTCAATCGATATGCAACCATTATTTTAGACATGATTCTACTGTATATTCTTTTTGCTCCTGCATTTCTTACTTGCTGCTTCATTTTGGTACCTTCCTTCGCTTGCGACCATCCCTCTCGTCGCGGCGTGAGAATTTCGATCCTACTGCACCACACCCGCAGACTTCTTCGCCTTCAACACATCACTCCTGTTAAGACAAAATCTCTTTTTGAAAGAATTGATCACGTACTTGTCATAGTTCAGGTCACAGTACGGAAAATACCCCAGTAGTAGCGCAGTGGGCAATGGGCACCCTATTCTGATATTGCCAACGTATGTCAATGAGCCAAATAGCCAGCACTAGATGGAATGGAGCGAAAAGCTCAAATTAGATGTGAATTCGCCCTGGTTCAGCGAATCCTGCTTGAAAAGGACAAAGGAAAAACTGTTTTATGTAACCTGTCAATCCATCCTTCACTTACTTGACATGAGCAACAGCAATGTTCATTGGTTTACGGATACGGAACTCGAAATTGCGGTTTGCCCTCTGTGTTTGCTTATCTTGGAGAAACATTTAATCGATAGTAAACGTAAAGGCGTATCAACTCTTGTATTTGAAAAAATTGAAAAGGATAGATTTTGTTTACATTATGAAACTTTATGAACCAGCAGCTTCATTAGATATTGTATTCTATGCTTCACTCGAATAACTTTGGAAATCTGGGTGTCATTGCCAAATTAACCTTCCTCGGAGATAGCAGTTGCATTTCAGTTACAAGAGGGAAAGCCTGTTGCTGAGTTCCATGGAGGAGGTCAATAAGACTACCAAGTTTTCTATCCAATATCACGGATTTATTCTTGTGCTGACGTGGATCTGACATGGACGCCCGCTGCCCTTTTTTAGAAATCATGTTTTTGAGGCGGAACAGGTGTGCACGATGAACTCTAGAGACCAGAGAGGCCCTGTCGATGAATGCGTCAAGAGCGAAATCGATGGTCAGCACGAAAGGTGACTCATATGCTCGAGCATGAAGAAGTCATATGAAATCGGAAATCACCAAGACACGTATCACTGAGGTTCATTCCATTTTGAGCTGGATTATCACTTTCGAAGCTCTTCTGAAGCGAACTATCGACGCTATCGGCGATTGAATGTTCATAGGACCATAAGTCGTCACAAAATTTATGTAGAGTTACAGTTACATTTACGTAGTAACAAGCACATCGCACTCTCGCAACAGAATACAGTTGCTGGGATCAGGGCTTAACAGGCTCTCACATCCAGCCTGATGTGGGAATAGGGTGCAGTGTCCGGTTGGGGACGAACGTTTAAAAAGGTCGTTCTAGAAAGCGTTCTGACTTCTTCTCCTCATTGCACCTTTCTTGTATACCATCAAATTCCTCAGGCCTATATGCACTCTCTCAAAGAGGATTATACCTTAACCAACACAAACAACCAAGAGAGAATCATTCTCATGGTGTAATTCGTTTGAGGAATGTTTTCTGAGGCATATATAAGTTATTTTGGCAGCATGACGTCGCTTGTGATGCTGCCTCCACAACGTCCCTCCATCAATAGCAGCTGCGAAAATGGAAACATTGTACTAAAAAGTCTTTACGATTTCAACAGTTCCCAATACTTTTTCTTGACATGCTTTCCAGTTCTACTAAATGGGTGGATCTGTAGCAGAAATGAGACAAAAGAGTAGACGACTTTTATAGGAAGAATTTTCACAAAGCACACGGTTCCCCGGAAGCAGGGGAGCCAAAATTTTGAAATTTCCAAAGCATAAGTGATTTACTGATTTAATTTCGTTCGCTATTAATTAGTTGCACAAGTGGGTTTTACTACAATATGCATATCTACTGACGAGACATTCCCAACATCTTTTATGATAGAGGTCATTCAATGTTTGCAACATTGAAGGTTAGAAGCGTAGGGGCTTTGTAAACTTTCTTATGAATAATGACAGCACAGAAAATGATATAGAGAAGCAGAACGAAACTAAAAGAAATCAGGAAGGGGCTAAAGGCCGATGTTTTGAGGGACAAGAGTATTGAGTATTCCGTTCACGAGTTGATCGTACTCCAGCGAAACCCTGGAAGAATGTCGACGGAGCAGAACTTAACGAAGTTGTTGATGGGGCATATTGCCAAGCAGAAGTTTTACTTCTTTTCCTATCGCATGCGGAAATGCCACTTTAATTCCGATGTCAAAGGACAGTGTAAGGTCGGAAATTACAAAAGGTTGCTCACTTATATGAGTGGGAACACTTACACGGTCATCTCTTCTCTGATGAGAAAATTTCCACGACAAAGTCAGACTTCAGAAAATGAAATGAGGGCCCTGTACAGAAACAATAAAACAGAGCCCGTTAAGAAAAGAAGGTTGAAAAACAACAAATGTCCATGTCTGATAAAGAGACGCCGTTGGTTTCGTTGGTAGCGGCGTAAAAATTGGCAGACATGTTCTGAATGGTATACCGATAGATGGTTTTGAAACAATGATCCGACTCCACTTCCTGGAATTGCTTGTGATCCTCCCAGCGATAGTGTATTCCAGGCTACTGAGCCAAGCTCACCTAAAAAAGTTGTCGATTCCAGCTGCTCGATTTTATTATCATAGAGGAATGACGAAATTGCTTTCAGATCTTATCCCACTTGTTTCTCGTGGACGGTCACTGATTAGAAGAAAACCTGCTGGGTTCGCAATCCCCAAAAAAACAAAATTCACGTAAAACCTGGAAATATACAGCTTCAAGAAACTTTTCCAATGGGGATGGAAACAGAGGCGACGGCTCAGTTTGGAATCTTTGAAAGCGAATTAAAAGAACGGCTAATAAGAAAAGGAGGATAGACACCTGCGTACAACATGCGGTGAATTTGAGAACAGACTTTGGACGTCTACCCCTGCTACTGGGGTATTCTTAGAAGTGGGTTGTAGCTTGGTAGTGCACACAATGTAAGCAAACGTGCGTTACAGTTCCATCGTCATTTTTTTTTGGAAGCTTCAAATAATTGCAATGAACAGGCGCCCATATTTTGGGACACCCTTTATATTTATACAGTCGCTACTCGCCTTTTTCCCGAACAACCAGCGGCACCTGAAGCACCTGATCTAACTGCTCCTTGCCAATAAATAAGGGAGCAGCAGAACGTGTTTGACACATTCGTAATGCTGTTCACTTGCTTAGTGCTGGTTTCCTTCCTTACAAATGCCGCCGTACAGGGTGAGCACAAGAAGCCACTATGGAACTCAGCGAACCCAACATTCCTAGTAGCTTTTGACGTAATTCGAGCCGTCTCCCGACTTCCATCATGCCATATTTTTTAGGCGAGAGTAGCGCACTACAGGACGAAGTCAAGGAGGCCCTTAGGTATGTCAACGAAGCCGATAACGAAAATATCGTTAGTTATTTAAACAAGATAACTGGGACAGCTTGATTTTGTCTATGGTAACTTATATACAGATGTGGGATCCTGATCTGGCCGAGATAGCACAGCGTTTGGTAAATGATCCAAAGACTGTGAATGCTGACTTAAGGATCAAGAAAAACAAGTGCGTTTCGACGTCTTTTCTGATATTTGCTTCTTCCCATAGCAATATATTAGTCATATTCAGGTGTTTCAAGAAGAAAGATAGAAGATCTTGGTTCAACAAAGTAGTAGACGGTTTTGAAAAGGTTATCAATGACAGACATGATGATGTGAGTTGAACTAACATGGGTCATTCTATTTTATACACAGGCATCTTTCTATGAACTGTGCCTAACTGTGACTGGGACTGTTTTTTTTTTGATTCATCACAAAGTTTGTTTATAGTCTTTAATGAGCAGATCTTCGGGCGGGCTGGCCTTCTTCAGAGCCTGGAAGTCTCATAACAATTACTGCTTATCCAACCAAACTTCTCCACAACCCTATTAACGTTCGAGGTCTCCAGAGCACCTAAAAAGTCTTACTAGCTTTATAGATTCTTCAAAATGACTCTGATAGTAACCATGATTGTCAGATATTACCCCCCAAGGTACGAAGTAGCGGCATTTCCTTCATGTGCTTACTATAGAACTTTCCGTCATATTTACAGAAAACAACTTTCTCCATCGCTCACCCATTGCATAACCATAACTATAGAACGAAACTGTGAAATAGAGATGAATCGTTTTCCTATCACATATTTTTTTCCTGTCTGAACCCTTTACAGACTATCCCGCTAGCTATTCATTGAAAGGCTTTTCCGTGCAACTACACTCTGTTCGGCTGTGTTGTCAATTTTTGTTGAAAAATTACTAAATTGAATACATTAAGATCGAACGCCTTGGAACAGAAACACACTTCGGATGCAACGGCGTTCTCGACGCACGGCTAGCGAATTACCATTGTGTGACTATTGCCTGTATCTACAAGAAATAGTGAATTGTTTTAATCTGCGTAAATCTTTGAATGAATGACAAAATTTTGAAAAATTGCAACATTTCGGAGAGGTGGTCTAGTGGCAATTGGCGCACTATATCGCACGTACTGTCGTAGGTTCGCGCCCCCGATCGATATCCGCCTTGGCCAACCAGCCTTCCATCCTTCCGGGGTCTGTTGATTGTTACCAGACTCGTCTGGGATGATAAAAGCACTGAAATGTATTATACATCGGCTGGCCACCGCAAGTCATTGTATAGGCCTAACACGCATTCAATCCGCCACTACGGTTCTGAATGGGTGCATCACTCGGGCGCGGTTGATTAACGCCAAAAGACGTTCTTTTATCGAGAGATGTGAAATAATCGTGGAAGATTAATAGCCACCCAATTTGTCGAAATCAGAATACTTCTGAGCTCCATTTTGAGTGGACACAGTCGACTGACAGAAAATTGAATAGAGAGAGGCTGTATACGACTACAACGATGGCAAAAAAGTGATCAATGCCCTATGTAATACTACCTAACATTTATGCTCATTTAACCGTGGAAGTTCGGTAGAGAGATGTGAATTCACTTTTCAAACACTACCTTTTCTTCTCCACGGCATGAATAACCTGTAATTTGAAATTATTCGCTATTTCGAAAGATCCCGATTAAGGAGATAGAAGGAGCAAAAGGCAATATCTTTCCACCACTGTAGAATACGAACAGTGCTATACTTCCGCTTCGCGTGATATTGTTTTTTGAACAGTGATATTTATAGGTTCCTCCATATCACCTTGAGATCGAATTCTAGAAACTGCCTCTTCTAAGCCACCGGAGGATTAGTTACTGCTAAACTGTTAAAACTGAGAAAATATGAACTTTCGTTGATTCAGGTTGCGATAGTCCTAGAGACTTAAAATTACAGGTTCTGCTTGCACCCATCAGAGGTTCGTGCCGTCAGCTTTGCTCATTACCGTTCTGAACCGTTGCACTACAGTAGTGGAAAGAAGAAATAGTTTCAGCAGGAGTCTTTATGAAGAGAGGAGTGACAGACAAATGACTACCACTTTTCTTCACATTCTTACTGTACACGCAAGGTAATGTTCTGGCTTTCTCATGAGACATTAATAGTCATTAAGCCGTATGTCCACACAACGTAGAGTAAGGGAGCCAAGTATATACCGATAAAAATTTCATCAGTCGATGAAAAACAATCACGCTATAGACTGTGTTTCGTTCGCAAGCCAAGAGTCAAAAATATTAACCACTGATGTGAAGAACAGCTCAATAGGGACACGGATAAAAGAGTCTGAAGTTCCTTCTTCATCGAAATTCCATTGAATAAGCCCTTAAAGATTGTTGATAAAAGCGTGCGCTCTCAATTTTGCTACATATAAGCAACGGCATACACGTGATTGAGGATAGGTTCTTGGAACGTTGATCAATCCCGTCTGAGGGGTGCGCCCACACATTCGACTTCCACACTCACAATCCGAATGGTAATATCGTATTGAATGCGTATGTGACCTAGTATACAATGTTTTGCCGTAGTCAGTCGATGTACGAGTGATTGATTTTATCTTCTCGGACGAGTCTGATACCAAATAAGCGACTGAGGGAAGCAAGGCTTGCTCGGCTTAGATGGAAATCGTTCCGCGATTCGAGCCCGTGACAGTGTGCTTGCCGCTACGCCACCTCTGCCTTGTGCATTCAAGTATGTTCATATGTTCATATATGTACATGTTCATATGTATACACATATAAATATATATACACTGGTGTGAAAAACTTAGGGACGAAAACAACTTTCCATTACTGTACCTCTGCCAGATAGCATAGCTCGATAATGTTTATACCATATTCATACCAGCGAGGACAATTTTTGTATCGTACAGGAACCAACTGAGAGAAATTCGGAATGAGAACATTAGATATGACATTTTTATTCAAAGGTACCAATTATAGATAAGCCTTCACAATTTATCCTGGCTCTTCAAAAAGGGTGACGCGGTTCTTAATGGGGTGTGTGATCATCACGGCCAGCAGCACATGCTCTGCAACACGGAGGCGAATGGTAGCCCCATTCGATATTCTGTCAATCAGAGAGTTGCTCCACCTGTGTCGATCCAGTCGCGCGCTGTCATTCATAGCAATGAATTTCGGGTCGAATGCAGCACTGAGGAGTCGCACATAGGAATGGATCACTCGTCACATAGCGACTTCGACACAGTGCACATGACAATTGCCGTAAGCTTCTTCGCAACCATGAGAACCTTTCACAGTCGGCTTGTTCGACGTGAACACGTCATACACATGCGAGTTGAAGTGCCGAGTGAAGCCCTAGACAGCACAGTTAACGAGGTACCTGTATACAAGGGTACACATAATGGTCTTACTGGAGGCCCTCTTGTGGTCTGTGTTCCGCATGGACAAAAGTGGATTGGGTCGAAGCTTGGCAGCGACTAAGTGGGATAAGCCCCATAAGGAAGGTTGGATGTTGGGATAGCTTCCTTTCATATGTAAAGAGAGCCCTTGCTACTCAAAGTCATAGAAGAGAACGCAGCCCCAATTCCTCTTCTCTGGATTGCTGGACTGGGTTGAGCCCCGCGCTCTCTTCAGGACGCTTTTTTGATTATTCTTTTTCTCGTTACAATAATTCCAGGTCAGGTTCTCAAGAGCTGGAAAGGTCTGAAGCCCTCAGTCAAGAGAGCAATCCCTGGTCAATGCATGATTTTATTTCCAGGAGCGGTTCTACAAGGCTGAACGAACCCAGCGCTCAAAGCCAAGAAGTCTATGACCGCAGCCTGGTCCGCACAAGAATTGGAAAAAACTGGCAAACCTGGTCGAAAGACACAGGACAGCCAAAGGGTGCGTGCAGTGGGCTGTTTTAGAGCGTGAATTCTCTTCCAATACGCACGGCGACCCAATAAGAACGGGGGAATCCCTTGGAGCAACTTGTCGGAGATTTATTAAAACCTCCGTAAGAACATCTGGGGTGAGCACTCAAAGTAAAGTAGCCTCGTATCCCGAACTTTGCCTCTCTCTCTAGATGCACTGAACAACAGATTGGAGGTCGCATATTCTCTGCTGTCGCATGTTTCAATCAACATTGCCACTACAGTGTCGAAGGTGCATCCCCAATTCGGTAGTCCGACGGTATCGTTCTTGATCCCCCATAATAAACGACCTATAGTAAACACTGACGATGAAAGCTTTTCCACAACAGAGAGTTCCGACCATAATCTGGTCTACCTTGGGCAGCCTACTGTGTTCCTGATTGGAAGCCTTCTGGAGGTACAAGAGACTTGCCAGGGCTGTTTGTACTCTTCCTAACCAGCAAAGCTGAAACAAGAAGGACAATGAGCCTATTTATCCAGGGTGGCTCGGAATGAATCCTATGTACCATATGCGGAACAAAATCTAAACATTCATATCCGTTTGTTTCTGGCATAATTACAAAGGTCGTGTAGTTCCACACTTTTTGCAGTTGGATATGACATATTCAATGACTTGAACAAACCATGAGTATGCCGAGTTTAGTCGGAGGAAGATCGCCCTTGTGATCAGTTCGCTTTCCATGGTGGAAATATAGAAATGCTGGTATTGACGCAGAAGTAACGCATGCCAAAGGACCGAAAGAGGCCTACCCTGCAGAGCGAGCCTATTTTTCCTGCTGACAAGGATATACCTCGAAACTCTAATCACTAATAAATTCCGGCTCTTTTCTCCGTAGAACTTCGTCATTTATATGCCATTTATGGTTGTATTGTGATTCTTATGCCAATGAGTATGTCAGGTGGAAATTTCATCAGTGACCTGACGTTTCGACGCGATCGTCTTTTTCAAGACCTAAAGGTGGCCAAGATTTGAGAGATTCCCTCTAAACTCCAAAACACCTGCTCTCCCTAGCGTTTCTGATGGAAGTTAGGGAGAACAAACGGAGAAACACCAACGAGGGAAATGAACTTTCCCCTTCCTTTTTTCTCTGTACTTATTACCTTTTCTTAGACATAGATCCACACTTGCGGTGGTGGACTGGGTGAGTTTATTTCCGTTGTTGGTGTTCCTTGGTTTGTTCTCCCTAACGTTCCATCAGAAACGATAGGTGTTTTGCGGATTAGTGAGCGTCTCTTGAACCTTGGGTCACGTTAAGATCTCTGAGAAAGACGATCGCGTTGTAACCACTCAGGCCACTAATAAAGTATCCACCTATCACCCTCGTCGGCAGAAGATTACAATAAGAATGAACCGCTGGGTTTTTTTCCATTCACTTCTTTGCAACGCAAAAGAGTGCACGACGTTCTCAACTTGGCCAAGGAGATCTGAAGAGGGATTACATCAAAAGCCTGACAAAGGTCCCCATTTGTCCAAGCATTCAAGTATCATGTGAGTAGTAATTCTTTATAACACGTATTCCTCAAGATTTACCATAGACTTCATCTGAATATTATTCTAGAAATTCTCATAGAACAAGTTTATCAGCGCCTCTTTTGGCACCAGAACGATCGTTCTCCGGATTACAAGCCACGAATCCTATGGAAATGAGTATCGGGCGGTAATGTACAGCCCTTATGCCTTCTTCCACTAAGAAATAGATAGTAAATTAAATTTCTTAGGCCTTTCGCCCTCTAATGAAAAGAAAACCATGGTTGTACGGCAACATACAATCGAGAAAGAATGGTTCCTCCAACGCGTTTGAGTCCGCGATTCTTCAAACTTTCGCAATCAAATTCTCTATTCCTAAAAAAATTCAGAAGGCCATCCCTTAGCAGGGAGCAAAGGAATAGAGCTCGTGCTGAGCGTTTGGCACGGCGTAACTCCTCTCTGCCTAAATCGGACAAAGTACAGTCTCAAAATCCTTCTGATAGTGACCAAGTACCTCCTCAGTTGATTAATATTTCTGACACCAGTATGCACTGTGTTAGCCCTGTCTCATCTAAAGCTCCTATTGCATCGGAAAACCTCTGAGAGTTCCTCGGATTGCAGGTAGTCTTCTTAAGGAAATTCATTGTT